CGGTGGTAGAGTATAACAGGGTATTATCAGCTAAGTTGATAACGTAAATTGGCCACCTTAAATAGATTAAAAGCTGACGTTTCGAATGTTAGCCCTTCGCCATCGTTCTGACGAGGGGCTGACGCTCGAAACGTCAGTTCTTTGTCAAACGAGAGCCCGCTGTCATCGAGTGTTGTGCTTCGTTTGAGGGTTGACCTTAGTTTTGCTTTTAGTCGCTTCATACTAAGGATAAGCTCCAGCTAGATGGGTAACTTGGCTCGAGTAAAGATTTAACTTTATCTTACCACAAGTCAGGAAATGGTCAGGAAAAAAAGTTTCTTCAAGGTTAGGGAAAAATCAGGGAATTTCACTCTAAGTCAGGAAAAATTTATTTATCAGAGAAGTTAGAGAAAATTGGATTATTCTTTTAACCAATACACTAGTAGGTTTTAATAGACATGAAATGTGTAAAAGGGTTTGCCATCTATTCATTAACCTGACAGAGTGGCGCGAAAGGCGAGTGACGTGTCAGCAGCTGTCGGTGATATCAGACACACATGAAAAGTTATCGTATTTTTTCACGTGCGTTATTCAGGGCTGGAAATTCTTGTATAACACCACAGTTTCGTGTTAGTTATCGTGCTCAATACGATAACTCGCTATTGCAATGCACTCACAAGTGAGCTATTGAGTTGAACAGTCGAAGGGAAATTCCATATGTACACGCGCTTATGTATATTTTCTGTTTATCACACGACATGTTTCAACCATTACTTGAAATCAAAGAGAGAATCATACTGCTCTTTTTTCTAGACTTCCGGGAGGAAAATTATCTGAAAACTTTTGAAAAAATAGTAAAGGTTAATGCAAAATCATAAAATGTCGTGAATAAGACAAAGGGATGACCCATATTTAAAAGAAACAAGCTAAATATTAATTTGTCAGTGTTTTTCATACGGTAAGTATTTTTTGCACAAAAATTGATCTACATTTCAGTTGAAATAACGTTTAATTTTAAAGGGTCGTTAAAGATCAGAAGTATGCTATGTGAAATAGGAATATTTTTATGTTTTTTAGTCGGTTGTTAGAATCTAATTTTTTGGTTTTTGAAAAGACCTCCTGGTTACTAGGGTCGGGTATTACCTTAACTTTTCAATGTCGAACTTTCTGCAAATAAAACGAAGTAAAACTATTTAACGGGACAAATAGAAAAACAAGAACAGTGATTAAAAACGAAGAAACACACATTACAAAGGTAATGATATCAACATTGTTTTTTTCATTTTGATCACCTGCTTTGGACGTTGCTTTGAGTTGGTAATTAGCAGCTATGGATTAAAAGGCACTTACCAATTCACGAGGTTTGTTTGAAAAGTTGAAATAATTCATAGGCTGTTCTACTTAAAGGCTGTTTAATCTACACACTAAGTACACGACGTTCCACTTCTCAGAGCGAGAGCATTACTGAAAAAGATTAGGTCGGCTATCTGAGACGGAAAGCTGAGTTTAATAGTAACTTTCACGAGCTTAACCTTTTAACATGCACCCTTACGACTTTCACCTTATCCAGGTTCATTACATTTAAAAAGATAAAGGACAAATGTTTTTAAACCATTCTTGTGAAATGGGAAACTACCCTTAACTAAGAGATCTTCTGGACAGCCATTTTCAGGGGGGGAAAAGGAAAAGGGTTGCATTGAACTTATTATCCCATCAGCGAAGGAAACAGAGCTAACGTAACGTTTTTTAACATTCCATTTAGGACAGGATAATCCTAGTATTTATACGGTAAGATTGAAAATCGTAATGTTATTAATGCAGAAAATAAGATTCAGTTAAAATTCTTGGAACCAAATGTTCATTAACAGTTTTTATTAGCCTAGAATGGAGTCAGATATTACGACTCTCGGAAGTTTCATGGACAAACGTTACAACGAGTTTTTAAGACTGCGTTATAAGCCAGAGGATAATTTTAATTTGAAAATCTAAGCCATAATGTCGCTGATATTTTTACTTGAATCCTTCAAACAAGCATTTTCTGGGATGAACAGGTTACACCTAGGTATCAAAAATTGACCATTTTCTAAGAGGCGAATTATTTTGAGTGCAAATTCTTTTGAAGAAGATAAACAAAATTGCAGACCTGGG